CCACACCTACGAAGTTCTCAAACTGAGGCAACCAAAGGGTAATTTTATGCAGGAGCCATTGCTTCCATGAATTTAAACAATGTCAGCTGGCACAATATCCTGGACATAACTGTAATCTACTTACACATGGAGTTGATCTGCTAGCACCTTCTATTAGGGAAGTAAAATCCTGTTTAATTGGTTACTTTACACTTCGTTACCAGTTGAGGGGACGGGCAGGCTAGAGCCTTGCCTATGCTGTGGAGCTGTTTCAGCCCCCACCAGTTAACCGGAACTGGTAAGCCTCACTCTTACTGAGTGAGACTTACCAGCTCACGATTCACATCCCTTCCTTTTCTTGCTTGGCTTATCTGCTATCTCCAGGGCTGCTCTTACCATGAGGTGAACTGCCTCAGGTGCCAGACTGTGGGGTTGGGGTGCCACTAGGACCCAGAGTGTAGAAAATTGTGTCTGCTGCTGGTGCATATGTATTCTTTCTGCAGTACCATGAGAGGAATAGAACAGGCAGAATTGAGACCTTTCAAAGTTTTGGCCCAAGCAAGGGGACATGGGGGTGTCATTTAAGCTCCCCGCCTCAGGTGCCAAAATGTTGTGGGCCAGCTAAAATGCTTCAGCCTTTTCTAAGAGCAAGACTAGAGCTGTTAAAAGATCTGGTGACTTTTCCTTTGAGAACTCTAGTACCCCTGGGCTTTGGAGCAGGGACTCAAGACTTAGCAGGAAGTGATTTGTATTTTAGGATTAGGGATGTGAAGGGTTTACCAGTTAAGGTTAATTGGTGGTGCTGGAGCAGCTCCCCATCGGAGTAGCCCCTGCCTGCAGGGCATGCAGACCTGCCTGTCTCTGGCGAGAGGTCAGGGGTGTTCAGGCAGTGGCTACTCTGGCTTGGTTGCAGCATCCCCTGCCTACAGGGTGGGGTGCGTTCGAGCCCAGCAGCCAGAGCAGCCCCTCCACTGTCCCTCTATAATTGGTTAATGGGTTAAACAATATGTTTAACAGGTTAACCAATTACATGAGATTTTACATCTCTAGTTAGGAATATGAAAATCCACCCTGATGTCGTCAATGCATTGGCGTTCCAGAAACCACAGGTTGCACAGAATCTAAAGACTCTTAAGAATTTTTTAATAACTAAATTCCAACTACATTGATCCTGCTCCAGCCTGAGGCTAAGGAAGACTTTCCTTGCATTTGTTGCTGTAGGTGTTTGCAAGCTGATCACTGGAATTGAGAGCAGGAAGAGTTGTGTGATCATTGATTTGTCAGTTGGGCCCTGGCATTGTGGGGGCGGAAGCTGATTGATTTGAATGGAGGGGAGGAAACAATGGGATGTGGGGTTGAAGGAGACGGGCAAGAAGCTGGCATTGGGAAAAGGGTGAAGCTGGAACTGGGATGGGGTCTCAACTCAGTTAACCTTAGGGCTAGCACCAGTCTTCAAATCTTCCTAATGGGCCTATGAGCACCCCCCTGTGACAATGCTGCAGGGGGTGGGGTGTCCCTATGAGTTTCCTCTTGCATTTTCCATTCCTGCCTGCCACCCTTGGGTGATTGAAACATTCTCTTTTAAGCGCCCCTTCCCCCTCCTCCACCACTGGTAGCATGCAGGACTAGAGCAGCTTCCAACTGCTAGCTCTACGCCACTGCTGGCACATCCCTGTGGCCCACAGCAGGCATGTATAGAGCCGTCCCATCCATAGGACATTTCAATACAGCTGCTCCAGGTTTTTGGGGGGCCCTGTGGTGGCCACCCCCACTGTCCTATGTATGGGATGATTCTCCCTACTCAGGTTAGCCTGCAGTGTGCTGGGCAGGCTGGGGCCAGTAGCAGGGGTCAGCCCACTCCTCCCCAAACTTCAGTAGCAAGGAGCTATCAGGAAGTGGAGCTTCAAAGCAGCCTGCATTCTACTGCCCAGTGCTGGAAGAAGGAATTTAAGCAGTGCCACTATGAACCACCATTATTTTAACCTAACATCATTCTTGTTAACATTCTGCAAAACTAAGTTAATCCTAAGAACGCGCATATAACATAGTAATTATACCATTCTGCAAAACTAAGTTAATCCTAAGAACTCGCATATAACAAACCTTTAGCTATATTGGTTTGAAACTGAAATGATTGAAATTACTGAAATAATTAGGTAAATTATTAGGGAATGTTGCTGGTGTACAGGTGCTTGATGTTGGTATAGCTTATGTATGACATAATTCTTGCTGCATGGGAAGGGAGGTATGGTTGTGGTCTGTCCAAGTTCAATGCCTCTAGGGTTTCTAGTGTTAGCAGTCACAAATAAAACTCTGCTCCTTTGCTTTCGGGAATGCAAGCAGCAGTAATTTAGATCCATTTTCTCTTGGCTGGACTGCACTGGTGAGAAATTCCCCCTCTCATCATGTCCACAGAAACATCATACTGTGTTTCGTGTGTGTGTCTGAGAGGGATGGGAGTGGGGTGTGAGTTTTAAAGCCCTATTTGGAATTTAAGTGCCCATCTCCTGTAGAAAACTCAGTGGGACTCCTAGCTGCCCTTTAGGCCTTTTGACATCCTTATTTCAAATTGTAGAACTCTTTAAGTTTTTGTAACAAAGCACATTTTACTAAGAACCTAAGCAGAATTGGTTTGCTCAACAAATCTCCCAGGAAAACACATATCTAAAATATTTACTCTTTAATACTAACATTCTGTATTTTTATTGTCAATATTTATCTCTCCCCAGCTTATTAGTATGGATTGAAGTATTCTCACTGGCCCAAGTCTTCTGCCCCTTCACAAGCATTCAGTTTACTTAAATGTTGGCATGCATGTACCTGAATTTGGCTTACTGTCTGGATAGGTAGTTTTTAATTTACCCAACTCCTCTTTATGGTCCTCCACATGAGTATTTTCAGAATCCACCAATCTTTGTGGTCATTTTTTTTTTGTTTCCTTTGACTCCACAAATAGGCTTTCTAGAAATTGAGTTGCCGTTTTATGTCTGGTATCACTCTTTATTGCGTTCACTGAGTAATACTGAGTTTTATACAAGAAAAAAGGAAGCACACTTTCCCAAGAATATGTTCATTAGCCACGAGAGTTGTTCTTATTTTATTCGCTAATTACAGAAAGTTTGACTGGCAGTACAGCAATGAAGCATCTAGGTGCTTTGGAAAGTGGTTCGAAAATACACGTGTAAATGAAATGTTCATGGGCAGTAGGTGAAGGCCCAGCTGGGAAAGATGCATCCCAGCCCTACCCCTGAAGCCAAGCTCCAGTCCTTCTTGGCCATCTGAATGGCCAAGGCTACTGTGCTACTGCCCCATCCCTTTTTGGGGACAGGGGAGCTGGGTTGCCATCCCACTGCCCCACCCTTCTCCTGTGACCGGGGGAGCTGGGTTTCCACACCGCAATCCCCACCTTCCTCTGTAACCAGGGAAATTGGGCTGTTGCGCTGTGGCTCCAGCCTTCCCCGGTTGCCAGGGCACATAGGCAGTTTTGGGAAGGCAGTGCTCTTCCTGCCAGTTCTTGCTACATTTCAAAGGTGGAAGCACCGCAGGGAGCACCAGGCCAGTGAGGCATTCAAGTAGTCCCGGGCTTCCTGTGCAGGCTTTGCTTTTGAAATGTACAAAAGCCCTGTCTGTGTACTTGTACATTTCAAAAGAGGGGAGCACAGGGCCAGCGGGGGACTGCTTGAGCCTCCCACTCTCCCTGTGCTCCTGCAATAATTCTGCTTTTGAAATGTAGCAAGAGCCCCATTTCAAAGGTGGAAGCACCATGGGGAGGGTGCTGGGTGGAACCGGCTTTTAAGCTGGCTCCCCCTAGTATCAGCTCCTGCTCCCCCCTCTTGCTGCTTCTCTCTGATAGATGCAGCAAGGGGGGGAGAAAGTGACTAATCGAGTCACTAGTCAACTATCTGATAAGCATATATAGTCAACTATCAGATAGTGGACTAGTCGCTTACATCCCTACTTGGCACTGCATCAATTAGCCACTTAATTTGCTGCCTTCAACACTTCCTATATCTATAAACCATCTCATTCCTGTAACCTTTTAAACCTTTAAACATTCCTGTACAGCTTCAGAGATTGCTACAGAGCAAGTCCATTGACCTTAACACCCTCTTTTAAATATATTTGGGCTCTTCTGGTTTAGTTGCTTTGCCATGTGCATAGAATACTAACCTACTGAAATCCATGTGTACTTCCAAATGATTCTCACCCTTTATTTGTGCTAAAAATAAATTAAATACTGCAATGTGCGATAAGTGGGTTACACACACTACCCACACAAAGCACAAGAACTTGCATTCTCAGATATTCTCATTGGGGGTGGCTGGCAAAGAACTGAAATTGCAATGTTTTAATCTCAATAGCTTGGAGAACTCCCATTACAGAATGTATATCCTATTTTCCTCTTCTCACTGCTTCCCTCTTTCTTCTCTCACCAAAGTCAGTAAAAATAAAGCTTGACAGTTCTGTGCTCTTCTTATTTAAGGGACAGGTTATGTTAAAGGTAAGCAGTCCTGTTTCACAGCTGTTTCTTATCAGCACTAATTGTTCTAGTTGCTGTTACAAGACAAAGCCATGGATTGTAAGGGCATATAAAGACAGGAACAGTTAGAAAGAAAGGAGAGTTCTAAAATAGGACCTACTTGTGAGGAAATTAAATGAAAAGAGTAAGTAAAAATGGTTATACAGCTGAATGTAAAGTTAATCCCTATTCCTGGGGAATAATATATGCTTTGTACAAGACACTATGGCCCTGGCTAGACTAAATGGGTGGAAGGGCAGAAAGTGGAGAATGTCTGTATCCTATTATGAATTGGAGGAAATTACTGTCTGTATTCTGTATGCTGGTGGGCTCAGAATATCCTGTTGGCAGTCTGGTTTGTACTGCAGGGCAAAGAACACAAAGCAGAGAAATGTCAGTTCTTGTTTAAATTCACCTAGGTGGGATCAGAAGTAGTTTTCAAAAATATGTTGGAGAGGATAAACTAGCTCTCATTAACTGAAAATTCTCGGTTTTCTTTCAGGAGTGTGTTTTCTCTGAAATTGCTGCTGCTAAAGGGTTCCAAACGGGAGAAATAAATCCAGTCTGCTTGTCGAATCCCTGGCTCAGAGTGAGAGTGCTTTCATGAGGTAACATTGGGCCAAAGTCAACCTTTCTTCTTTCTGAATCTGCAGCCAAGAAATGGGCCAGAAAATCTCAGGGAGCATAAAGTCTGTGGATGTGAGAGAGCCCCCTTACAGACCTGTTAAACGAGAGCTGAGGGGCCCAGACTTTTGCAAACCTGCTCGACTGGACATGCTTCTGGATATGCCACCTGTCCAATTGGAGGTCCAGTATAAACATGCTTGGAACAATGAAGATCGATCTTTAAATATATTTGTAAAGGAAGATGACAGACTCACTTTTCATAGGCACCCTGTTGCCCAAAGCACAGATTGCATCCGGGGCAAAGTTGGCTACACAAGAGGCCTACATGTCTGGCAAATTCACTGGCCCACTAGGCAACGAGGAACACATGCAGTGGTGGGTGTATCAACAGCAGAAGCTCCATTACATTCTGTAGGATATACATCCTTGGTTGGTAGCAATAGTGAATCATGGGGTTGGGATCTGGGACGTAACAAACTTTATCACAATTGTAAAAACCAACCTGGGGTGACGTATCCTGTTTTTTTGGAACCAGATGAGTCTTTTGTACTCCCAGACTCTTTATTGGTTGTTTTGGATATGGATGAAGGAACGCTTAGTTTCATTGTAGATGGACAGTATCTTGGAGTGGCCTTCCGAGGACTGAAAGGGAAAAAACTTTACCCTGTAGTCAGTGCAGTTTGGGGGCACTGTGAAATTACAATGAGATACATCAATGGACTTGACCGTAAGTCAACTTTTCTCTAAACTATTTTTTTTTTTACTTTCCTCTTAACTCCTTCATACTCTGAAAATGGAGAGTGCTGGGCAGAGGACCCTTGGATGCTGTTAATTTTACAGATGTTGGTTACTATCTCACCTCAAAACTTCTGCCCCTTAACTTCTGTTCCACAGATCGAAGATTATGGCTGTGGATTGTCATAATATCAACTCAGTTCCTAAGATAGTGATGGGCTAGTGAGCGGGCTGCATGAGTGACCTTCCTTCATCTCTGTGGCCTGCAAGATTGTCGTAACCAACACTGTCTCCCAGGATAGAGTAGTTTTGTAACTGCGCTTGTGTACCTACAATTGGAAGAATGTACCAACTGAACAGTAGCAGGTCTTTGGATAGACGCAGAAGGAGCACATGTCTCTTACTGCCAATGTTGTGTGCAATCAGCATACACCTCACTTCATGTGCCCTTGGTTTATCTGTATGTAATTTTAGTAGTACCAGTAGGGGAAAAAATATGCAAACGGAAACCAGCGGATTCTATGCATGGAAAACTATAAATAAAATGTCTCATGGACCACAGTTCGAACTCTGATGGGCTGCAAGTTGCCTACTTCAGACTTTTTTTTTGGATCCTATATTATAGTATATCTTTTGGTCCTCTGGCATAGAGAATGTCTAGAAATCTGACTTACACAAGTAGTTTTATTTCAGTAAGATGGGCAGGCTGGGACAATTCTCAGTTTTTATGCATTTTCAGAGTGAAATTCTTGTTTATTTGACATCGATGCATTTAAAATATTGAAATGTAAATGATTTTGAAAGGGAGCCCCTTTTCTTAAATTCTTGATAGTTTATAGCAGAAGATGAATTATCTTTTTTGAAAATGGGGTTTAATATTATTCATTAGATCATAATTTGAGGCTTGATCATGAATTGACAAATTATCCAGAATAAGGGACAATATGATGATGTAGGCTCCTCATGTGGCAGTGCAAGAGAGGTTGGCTTGAGGGTCATAGTCTAACTCCAGATTTCCTTGCAACTCTGGAGACTATTACCCAGTTTAGCAAATATCCATTGATGTGCTGGCACAGCTCTGCTGGTTGGGCACTGTGAGGGTGGGATGAGTGTGCGTGGAGGTCTATAGCATAGATGCAGCTATTCTTTGGAGCCTGCTTCACCCCTGAACTACGAGGGTTGGTATAGACAGGCCACTCTAAATGGTAAGAAACATAAATTCATAGTGTGTGTGACTGAAGTGGCTAGCTAGTTAAGCTGGAACTTTACATTGTGAATTAGACTATTGGCTATTTCTTATAAAGAAGAATTTAATAGAAAATGCATAATTTCTCTGTGTCTTAATAGTTCTGGGGCGGACACATCCCTTTAGATTTGAGTTTCTCTTTTTAGCTTCTAATGGGATCATCTAAATTCTCTCTGTCAAAAGTAATTGTCTGCTCATTACCTTTAGATTTGGTCTGTGAGCTGTAGTAAAATCATAATTTAAGAACTTGACCCTGTTTAAGATTACTTTTTAACTCCTATACATAAGTCTCATTGGGGAGAACTTCTCAGCAGAACTCTTGCAAGCATATTTCAGCTATAGTCAAATGAAACGTTCTTGTGCCTTAAAAGGAGTGTCAGGGGGTGGGCTCCCCGCAATAGCACTCTGCTGGTACCTCTGGGGAATCAGTTCTTTCTCAGCAGAGCGTTCCATTCTGGTCTCCTGTCCACCAGAGGTGCTCTGTCCACGTTTGGACTCTGGACCCACGTCGCTCCTGGACCATGGTATTGTTGTCTTCAGGACACTGCCCTCTGGCAGTGCCCACTCCCATGGTCAGTGGTTGGGATTTTATTGGCAGTCCTGTGTCTGCTGCCACTGTGGATGACTGTGGCCTCTAATCCTAGCCCGTCTTGTTTTGGGGGCAAGCCACAGTTTGTATGGGCCACACCTTGGTGGCAAGGTGTGATGCAAGGGAGATGGGGGAGACCCTGGCCCTCCCACTATGCTGGGTCCCAATTCAAGGACCCTCTGTTGGCAGCCTTGTCCTGCTCTTCTCTACTCTCATTGCCTCCTGTTCCTGGACCCCTTTCCCTGTGAGCCTTTGCATCTTCTTGGCCCTTGTAGCAAGGCCTGCAACCTGACAGGTATCAGGCTGGAGCCTCCCTCTCTAGCCCAGCTGAGCCTGCCCAGCACTGCTCGATCAAAAGGAGGCTTCTCTGGGAACCAGGTCCTGCACCTTTGCTGGTCAGGGCTCAACTGACTCTGCTGGGCAGCTCCAGGAAATGACACCTTGATTGGCTACCTAAAAACCTTTGGACAGGGCTCTGCGCAGGCTCCCTTCAGCCTCCTTTAACCCCTTCCAGCCAGTGTGGGACAGTAGCCTGTTACCCCAAAATATTCTCAATGGAGACCACCCAGGGTTACACTAGTATGGGTTTATTTCCACTAGGTAAAAACTAAAGAGGAGAAAGCAGCCACCAAAGGTTTAAGCTAAAGAAGATAGAATTCTTTCTCTCTCTCTCTCTCTCTCTGTCTGTCTCTCTCTCTCTCACACACACAGACAGGCAAGCAAGCACACACCCCTCCATTCATTCACTCATTCATACCCATTCATTCCTGCCCACAGGCAATCACACACTTACAGAGACATATGGGTTGCAGAAGGAGCCAAGGCATGTGGATCCTGGAGGGGCTGTCTGCTCATCATGGCTGGGGAAGCTGGTCACTGGTCAGGAGGAAAGACACTGGAGGGGAGCTTCTCAGGATCAGTGGAAGGAAAAAGAGAGCGTCTCACATGTGTTCCTTCTCTTTATATAGTGTCTGAATGGCTCCTGTGACTCATTCACCTTGTCATCAGGGAGCATGCCCAGACTTCCCTTTATCCAGAAGAGAGCATGCCCATACTGTGATGACTCATTGCCATGTGGTCCATTGTTCCAAGCCTTCTTCAAACACACTCACGCTCACACTCTCTCTCCATTCACTCAGGAGAATGCAGCTTAGGGAAAAGTTACAAGCAAGGTGGCTGCATGTTACAAAGATTACAAAGTTGCAGTTTACAGTAAGTTTGAGAGTTACACAGATTACAGAGATTGACAAGGATCACAGTAAGTTGCAGTTTAAAACCTTAGACCGTACAGTTTGGTGTAGCTTTAGAAAATCCATGTATATAAATCTATTGAGCTCAGGTGGAGGCTTTTTTATGCAACATCGCCCACCACAAGCTGGAAGATTAAAGGGTCAAAAGTTCTCTAGCCATTAATTTGAAACCTGAAAAGCAGTTTTTTTTTTCTTTTGACAGTGTGCTATATAACTACTTGGCTTTTCAAAAGCAAAAAGAAGAAACTGATAAATACAAATTTAGTTATGTTCCACTGTGTGTATTTTAGCTGTTTTGTGAGATATTTAGTTGAATACTAGAAGACAGAAAGGAGGATGTCCACAAGTAAGAAGAAAGGAGAGGCAGAAAAAAAGAAACCTCACAATGGATAAATAGTGGGTGTGAATGGATAAATAGGGAATGTGATGGCTTTCCCCTTTGGTACCACTGAGCTCTCTCACCCACTAGTCTGGGCTCCCTCTCACCCTGTGCTGCAGTGACAAGGTGCAGAGGCCCTTCTGGTCTTACACATCCTCCAGCATTCACACAGGTAGGGACACCCAGCTGCATTTGCATGCAGGCTCTCTGACCAATCACTGCATGAATCAACAATACAGAGGAAATGCAACAGCCTTTGCCCCTCAAGCTAAGATTTAGGTATGCAAGGGGGTAGCTGACTAGTTGACTACCTGATAAGCCAATGCTTATCAGGTAGTTGAGTCAACTACTAGCTTCCGCCCCCCCCCCCTTGCTGCTTCCTCTGACGGAGGCAGCAAGGGTGGGAGGGAAGCAGGAGCTGGTGCTGTGGGTCCCAAAAATTCCATCAACTACTAGATTAGTTAATCACAACTTAATGTCCCTACTAAGATTACCAAGCACTTCACACCAAACTTCCTGGTTTAGATTAAAATGTAAAATAAGTTTATTAACTATAAAAAGATAAGTGACAACAAACAGATCAAAGCAGATTAAATACCTACTAGATAAGTAAAAACACCAAACTAAGCTGAACATACTAGAAGGATAGGGTTTGAATTCACAGTTTCTCACCCTGACTGATACATGCTGCCTTTCAGATTCTCATGGCACAAACTGTACTTGCTTTGCAGCTTGAGATCCCCCGGTTTTCGTGCGCAGGCTAACAGTTACTTTTAGCGTAGGGCCAGCACATCTCTCAGTTCAGTCTTTTGTTCCTCAGGTGTTTCCAGGGGTGGTGTATGTTAAGGAATAATCAATAAGCAACTCTGCAGAGCCGCAGCAGGGGTAGCTCCAGGAGCTGACTCAAACTGGGGCTGAGCAGCCCTGGCTCATGCCGGCTCTGGAGCCACCTGTGCTGCAGCTCTGCATTTTAAATGTAGTAAGAGCTGCTGTAACAGAGGCAGCAGCATGGGATCGTAGCTGGCTCCCCAGGAGTGGGGCAAGGAGCCTCCATGTAACTGAGTTCATTAACAGAGAGGCCCAGGCTCATTGGTTAACGGTTTACATAGTTATACATTCACATCCCTAGCCCAGAGTCATTTGGTCTGGTCATATGCCCTTGCATACAAGCCATTACTTATGGTTGATCTGGAGGATTCTCAGGAAGGCATACTAGCTGAGGGATAAATCTCTCCTAAGGCCTACTGTTTTCCCTAATGGCCCATTTCCTTGAATGGGCCCTTCATAGATTAGCTAGACTGGAAGCATTTTGACTAGTCATTACATTTGAAATATGGATACATGGTCAATAGTCATAACCTCATATAGAAAATGATAAATGCATACAAAAAAGAAGCATTCAGCAAATTGTAACTTTTCTAATGACGCATTACATGCTCCATGTTGTACAAAATACATCATAATTATGCCATTATCATATCACTGTGAAGAATATGGAGAGCAGTGTCTGGGTATGTCTACACTACCC